CAAGAAGGGCAGGAGGGGCTACTGGTTCCCACATACACACACACACACACACACACACACACACACACACACACACACACAGGCGCGCGCACTGTCGAGGAAATCAATAGTCTCATCCTTCGCTCATTAGCAGAGAGAGGAAGGCTGCAGGCTGAGTATTAATTTGAACATTTTTTCTGGGAGTCTTGTGGGTCTCTTTAAAATGCTTTGATTAATGGATGATGATGATGACGAACGGGCCTTTCTGGTCTAACATCTTTGTGCGCTCTGTATCTGACAGCAGCCTCTATCACACACCTATAACGCTACATTTGATTTGCTTTGCTTTGCTTGATCATAATTAACGCGTAATCATCACAGTGTCAAATCCTTTTTCACCTCGAAATTCTGCACACAATGCCCCATAGTGACAAAGTCAAAAAGTTTGCTTGAAATTTTTGCAAATTTATTAAAAATCAAACAAAATGAAGCACATACACAAATCTTCACAGCCTTTGCCATGACACTCAAAATTGAGCTCGGGTCCTTCCTGTTTCCACCGCTGATCTTTCAGATGTTTCTACAACTTAACTGAAGTCCAGCTGTGGTGATTCAGTTGATTGGACATGATTTGGAAAGGTACACACCTGTCCACATGTAGTTCTTGGTCCCATCTCATTAACTGAGGCGAAGGCTCATTTTCCAAAATAATAGTGAACCCCAACACGCAGCCAAGATAACAAAAGAGTGGCTTCAGGACCACTCTATGAATGTCTTTGAATGAACACCTCTTGAGAGATCAGAAAATGGCTGTGCACCGATGCTCCCCCATCCAACCAGGTTCTGCAAAGAAGAAGAACAAAAAATATGTGTGCAAAGCTTTTAGAATCATACTCAGAAAAATTTGAGGCTGTACTTCCTGCCAAAGGTGCATCAACAAAGTATTGAGCAAAGGCTGTGAATATTTATGGACATGTTAAATGTGCAAGAAGTAGCTTTATCAATGTGTTAAAAGTCAGGGCAAAAGCCAAAAAAAAAGTAATTTAACAAGAGGCCAGCATTTGTTAAAGAGAGCAGTTCATGTATTATCGCTACCTGTAAGTGCTCTGTGTTTCCTGTTGTCATGCAGCGCCTGAAGCTGGTCTGCTCCCCTCAGCCTGACTGGGGTCCTTTCCTGATGAAGCACCGTGGAGAACGCTACCAGAACATGATCGACCCACTGGGAACCAGCTCCCTGGGCCTCAAGCTGCCCCCCAAGGACTTCCAGCTTGGTTCTTACCAGTAGCAGCCATCCTGACAGCACCACATCCACCACTTCCAAGCCCTGTAGGAGGCACTGGTGGGTGGTGGGAATCGTCTCCATCCCCACGTCTTCTCCCTTCTCTCTCTCTCCTGCTCTGTTTGCTTCTTGTCTTCTTTGCTTTATCGTGGATGTGGAAACAAGCTCCTTCTCTTCTTCCTTTATGTCTGCATCATGTCCTTTCTTCTCTCAGGGAGGAGTAGCTGCCCAAGTGGAGTCTACTCTTCTACTGCTGCTTTGTACACTCTTAATGGGCTACCATTGCCTCCCACACATGACCGCTGATTACTCCAGAACCCTTCCCAGGGATCTTTATTCCAAGAGAAAAATTGTGTCATAAAATGACACAGCTCAGACTGCACTTGCAATATTAGACTCACCCTAGTTGCTCCCTATGGAGTTGTGTGTATTTCTCTGTGTGTGCGCGCGTGAGTTTAAGTGTATGTGCGTGCCATCAAATTCGTGTGTACAGATAATGAATCATCTTGGTGCAAGCAGACACAGGAAAACAAAAAGAAAATTGAGCGACAGAGAAAAAAAACCCCCAAAAACAAAAAACGGCACAACGAGCTCAGTGGGGATCTTTGTTTGGTTCCATCTGTGTACAAAATTCCATCGGCAATACAAATAATATCAACTGCCTGGAAAGAAAAAAAACAAAACACAATATGCTCTGTTATCACATTTTGTTCCTATCCAGCAGTATATATGTATATTCATATGGGCTTCCACTCAGTCGCTATTGCTTTGTCAAAAATAGATTATAAGATCTGCAATTTGTGCCTCTTACATCCCGGTAGAGTAGCGAATGCATCCTGATTACTACTTTCCGTAGATACACTTTGGCCTCAGATGACTCTACAGTATGGTACAAACTTGGGTTTATTTTTCATTCTGAACCCGAGGGACCATTTGTGATACCCTCTCTCTTTGTCTATTTATTAAGTTGTATTCTTGCTGTATTGTCCTAGAATTTAAAGTAGCACATTCCTAACGTAGGAGTAGTCTAGCCTTCTTCTAGAAGGTGATAACGTGGCCATTTAACCTTCTAAGGTCTGAAAACCTAGTAGTCGCTATTTGTGCATATATTTTAGACGTGCATTTGTGAAAGTGCTAAGCCATCTGACGAAACCTTCTTTCCAATATGCATCGCATCAGTAGAGTAACAGTGTAATATATATATATATATATATATATAGCAGTGATAGAGGTAGCAAGACAGGGACTCGCATTTGTGTGTCTGCGTGTGTGTGGGAGGGGCAGTAATGCCTCTCTGAACCCTAGTTGTGGAATATTTTGTACAAAAAAAAGACTTTCTTCAAGTAGTAAGCGTGTGTTGTTGTCCTGTCCTCAAAAAATTAGGAACTGCTGCTATATGTGAGCAGATGAAGATTAGAAAATGGCCTCCTTCTATCCTGGAAGTGTACTTTGTCTCTTGTTGTTTGTGGTAGAGCTCTTGAGACCTCTTTGTCATTTCAGACGTATGCCTCGCTTCTACGTGTGTCCTCATGAAAACAGGGTCTCAGGTATACTCGATCCCTTCAGACTACTCTGGTAGCTGTGGGAACAGTAGCAGCCAGTGCACAGAAAACAGCAGAGCCACCCCAGTGCTTAATTATAATGGGAACGGTGTGGAAGTGTGTTGCAAAAGGTCAGATAATCTCAATGCAGCACTGCTTTGGTTTTGCTTGCTGTTGCTTCGGTGCAATGAATATAAAAGATACACAAGTGATTTAGCCTGTTTTGACCAACCCTGTGCACTGCTAAAGGAGGGTCATTATGAGTCAAATTAATTAAAAAGAAAGTCACATTTCAAAACTGGAACTTTAATTAGCTCTTGAAACAGTTTTGTTGATCATCAATGCACTGATTAGTTTCATTCGAAAAGGCAGAAAATTCTGAGCTCTCACCAACTTCTACTCACACTGTGATCCTGTAGAATTAGCCATAATGCTGTAATTTAGCACATATTTCCCTTTAACTCATCCTGTTAAGATATCCTCAGCACAAATGAGCCACTGTTTCTGGGGGCGTAAAAGTCATCTCCTTATGTAACGCCACAGCAACTTGAAGAACAGTTCAGTAAAGCTCAGCAGGTAGACAGACAGGCTTTGCACCCTCTTGAAATGTCACATGTGTGGCAGCCAACTTTTACTTTGTGGGCTGCCAACCAATTACCTTCAAAGTAACACCATGTATCCACTCGAAAGCAATTAGTATTTTCCACAATTTGACCAGTTGGATATGCATTTTCATGCTGACAAAATTCCTAATTGGCTTTACTATGCTTTTAACACTGCAGGTGATGAATTGTGGAGTGGCGTAAGCGTTCTTAATGGAGGCTGCAGGTATAGATTCTATAACAGTAGACAAGAGTTTAAATGTCTCCTTAACTACTTCTCTAAGCCATGTATTTTCAAGAACTTGACATGTACATAGCACAGATTGTGATCAAAGAGGTTTTATGGTTTGAAAACAAAACGCGATCAATCGATGAGCACAAATACCCTGATGTTAAATAGTGTGCTTGCTAGGCAGTGTTGCTTTTGGTAATATGTAGTACATTTAGCTCTATTTGTTCCAATGTGATAATAATGTATGTCTGTGTATGCTTGTATGTGTGTGTTTGTCTATATATTAGTTCACATGAACTTCCACTTACCTGTCAATCAGATGTTTGCATGGTCAGTCTTAAAGTAGATTGCTGAAACAGGCAGAGGAGATTTACAGGATGTTTGATGCACCTAGTTCTCATTTCTGATGATGTGGGGATCTTGGAGAACAAATTATTAAGTCGAGCTGGGTAAAGCAGACTATGAACACTAATCTGCTCCAAAAAAACCATTGAACTCTATGGCTTTCATGCAAATTAGAGCAGGGCTGGCCAAATGAGCAGGTTGGCATTTTAAATCATGTTGGATGTAGTAGACCGTTTGCGTATTGCTATAAGACTTGAATGATTAAAGCCTTTTTTGCCCTGAGAGAGATTTTAATGCTTTCACTCGGGGCCTTGTTCTGTGCCCTGTTATGTTCAATTTCTATAGAGATTCTCTGCCTTTATTTTTCAGAAAAAAAAAACTAAATTAGGGTTTAGTTGAAACCACATGGAGCCATAAAATGTAATGAAGAGCTTGCATGTGCAGTTTGTGTTGCTGTAACTTGATGTCCATGTATAATAATCTTTGTCCTTTTCCTCCCGATAGTATAATACAGTGCATGTTTACTTTAGGTAACTTTATGTTCTACATAAAGAAACAGAAGGTTGCTGTTGTCCTTTTACATAGGTGAAAGAATCAAAACAACAACAACAGCAACCAAAAAGAACTGCTAATTTGCTTAGCCTGCAAGTCAACTTTGGGCAGTATAAGTAACCAAAGAAAGAGCAATTTATATAAGGGTTGTAGTGAAAACAGAAAGCAATCTTTAAAAGAAAAAAAGGAATGTGTCATCTGCGTATAGGAGGTCGAGATACTGCCATTCATATAACATGTAGTGTTCTTTGATGTTTGCCAATATGTTACAAAACATCTTCAGGTAACCATTGGCCTTATAGATGTCCTCTTATGGTAGAATATTATATGTATTTCAGAAATAACATCACACAATAGCTGTCTGTCTCATATGGTACCAGTATTCCTATTGTTACGTCTGTTGTGTCTTTTTGGCACTTTATTGTGTGACCTATGAATGCATAGGTTAAATTTCTAATTACTTGAGTAATGTCATATATTTCTGTGTGTTCTATGTGAGGTACTGCTGCCTATGGATATAGATATGTGCCTCCAAAAGCCCATGACATCAATTTAATTTTAAAATTAAGAGTAGATATACACTATAACAATTATGTTTTAAAATGTGTGTGATGTGTGTAAACCCCCCAAAACAAAACAAAACAAAAAAAAAAACCAAGAAAGAAAATATATATAATATATGTGAAATGCATTTATTTATTTTCAACTTCATCAATCTTTGAGGCTCTACCTCAGATTTTGTATTTATGTATAGAAATGCTATTGGATTATAGTATCTTTGCCAATTATAATATATCGCTATTATATCATGAAATATATACCCTATGAATCAATAAATAAATGTTATTGTTTTCCTTGTTGTCACTGGCTTCTTTTCAGACAGCACACATGCTGAGCTTGCAGAGCTATGAACAATAACAAAACGGAAATTTGGCTGAGACAATAAATCCCCTCTGCAAATCAGTCTGTCAGTCTGCTCTTACATTGAGCCGCTAAAGTACTGAAGGCATCATAGCCATATGAAAATATATCATACTGTTTGCTGTCGACTGAGAAATCACAGAAGAAGTGGAAAGTACAATGATAATAATTTAAAAGCTCCTGCAAGCATGTCACTCGTTGACCTACATTGAATACCCTCAACTGACTGAATGGCCATTCAGTGATTCTTGAGATGAGGGACAAAACATGTCCGGCAGATAAAACCCAATTTTGTGGTTAAAAATATGCATACAAGTGTTAACCCAACTGCCTAAAAGACAAACCAAGGCAATGTTTATACAACAAAAGTATGATTTTGCATTTTTTATAAATATATATTTATTTTAAATGGTAAATATATATTACCAGTACCTTAAAAATCCATTGTCCAGAAGCAGGTGTGATAATATTAAAATACAGAAAAAAATTAAAAGTAATGTAAAATGAAACATCATGGCTCTCGTCACTAAGTATTTAAGTCAATACCTTATATAATATCAAAATATGCAATTGAAAATTTATTTTTAAATATTTTTTAAGTGATTAAAATCGTGTCCAGAGTTTTTGTCAACACCATCAGATTTTTTTTAAAGTACAAAAAAATCAGGAATTAATGTTGGGTAGCTTACACTCTGAAGACCCCTTTACCACTTCCTGTTTGATAGACATGCCATGAGGTCACTGCTGTGATCATTTATTTGTTTTTATTTCATTTATTGCACACCTTTCTGATAAAACTCTGTGTCACAACCATAGCGCGTCAACACCAAAGTCGATGTAATCCAAGATTTTATTTTATTTTTTTGTAAAAAGAGCTTAATTTAGGTAGAATGTAGAGGCCATAAGCAACTGATGAAAAACAAGATGGCTTTTGTCACAAAAACATGTGTTATGAGAGAAAGTAGGGTATTTTGTCAACACCATCAGGATTTTTGTCTGACGGTGTTGACCCTTTTTCTAATGGTGTTGACAAAT